GGGAAAAGACTGGAAGATACAGAAAGAACTCCAGATGTACTCAGCTACCTCATCTTTGACAAAGGAGGTGACCATCCCCACTGGAGGAAAGATAGCCTCTTTAATATATGGTGTTGGAAAAACTGGATCTTAACCTGCAAAAGATTAAAACTAGACCCTTATCTCTCACCATGCACTAAATTAAAATCCAAGTGGATTGAAGATCTAAATATAAAAACAGAAACACTAAACTTGCTGGAAGATAAGTTAGGCAGAACTCTGGAAGACAATGGCATAGGAAAAGACTTTATGAACAAATCCTCAGTAGCACAGGAATTAGCAGAAAGAATCAACAAGTAGGATCTCATCTTATTAAAAAGCTTCTGCACTGTAAGAGAAACAATCAACAGAACTAAGAGACAACCTACAATGTGGGAAAAACTTTTTACCAGCTGCTCCTCAGACAAAGGACTATTATCAAGAATATATAAAGAACTCAAAACAACCAGCCCCCCTCAAATATAAAGACCCAATACAAAAATGGGCATCTGAAGTGAACAGACATTTCTCAGACAAAGAAATAAAAGCAGCAAATAAATTTATGAAAAAATGTTCCATATCACTGGTCATTCGAGAGATGCAGATGAAAACAACACTGAGATTTCACCTCACCCCACAAAGAATGGCTGCTATCAAGAAATCACACAATAACAAATGTTGGCGGGGTTGTGGGGTGAAAGGAACCCTTCTCCATTGTTGCTGGGAGTGCAGACTGGTGCAACCACTATGGAAGTCAATATGGAGATACCTCAAAGAACTAGGATTGGAGGTTCCACTTGACCCAGCCATTCCTCTGTTGGGTATCTTTCCAAAAGACTTAAAAGAATCATACCACAATGATATATGTGCACCCATGTTTATAGCGGCATAGTTTGTAATAGCTAAAACTTGGAAACAGCCCACCTGCCCATTAGTTGGAAACTGGATAAAGTAAATGTGGTTTTTCTATAAAATGGAATACTACTCAGCCATAAAGAATGAGAAAGTAGATTCATTCATAGTTAAATGGGTACATTTTGAGGATATACTCCTAAGTGAAATAAATAAGTCAAGCATGTATAAATACTGAATAGTTTCTCTAGTGTGAAAAACTAAAATAGTACTCAAGATCCTAATGGGTTAATTAGCAATGTGAAACAGGAAGAAAAGGACTAAAGGTGCAGGGACAGTGAGAAGGGTAGGGGAAGGGGAATAAGGGAAAGGGAAAACAATATGAGAAAATGTAAAAATGGAATTAAAGAGTGTGTAGATGGAGAGGGGAGGAGGGGGTGAAGAGAGTGGGGACAAGGGGAAAAAATGAGACCCAAGACCTGTCATGTAAAGGTACAAGATCCCAGTAATGAATGTAACTGCACTATCCTAGAATGTACCTATGTAGAATGTACCAATAAATTCAATTTAAATTTAAAAATGTATTTCATGGAACATTAGTCTGCAAGGGATATTAATACACATTCCTCAAAAATAATTAAATAAGTAACAAATAACAAACAGCCTGGCTCTTTTGGAGACCTGTAATGTAAATGGGCATAATGAAGGAACTGAGAGCTGGTGCAAACATAAAACCATCTACCATATTGAAAGACACTGCTGTTTTAAGACATGCAGTTTGGAAAACGCTGAGCTAAAGATCTGCAAACTTTATCATAGTGCAAGTTCCCCAGAGGCAAGGCTAATGCTTTTTCGGAAGTTACATGCCCAGAGCAGCAAGAGGGAGGGAAGAGCGAAGTAAGACTGGGAAGCAAATACAAAGTGGTAACACACCTGAGCTAATCACTGCTCCATGAATCACGGAAGAGACACAGCCCATTATTCCTCTACATAGGATGTCCCTGGACAGGCAGATTAGAAAACCGCCTGAAACAGTCCCTCAGGAAAGGAACAGCAAGGACTTTATCTGCCAGCTCCATCTTCTGTTTCTCACTGGGAATGTACATTCCACAAGCAAACACTTACACAGTTGAATAGTCACCTGGCTCCTTCAGGCAGCTTTTAAGGATGCCAAATCCTACACCCTGTTGTTATGTGATTCATTTCCTGAGTAGGAGGAGCCAGAACCACCAAGGATCTACCGGGGTTGGTCTGGAAACTGGCACTGCAGAAAGTGCATCTACAGCAGGTGCCCTCAAGGCCAGAGCCTGACACTGGGAGAGATGAGAAAGCAGCCCAGGGGTTGAGATACAGATGAAGCCAAAACAATCTGAGGGGACAGCCATACACTCTGAAAATGTAAAAGGGAACGGAATGTACCTTTGAGAGAATGTGCCCAGGAGAGGCACAAGGGGCAGAACATACTCGAGAGGTACAGGGGGCAGAATGTACCTTAGGGACAGAGCACACCTAGGAGCAATGTGAGAGAACATACCATGAGGTATGAGGGGACAGAGCATTTCAAGAGATAAGAGGGGACAGAACATGCCTACGAGAGGTAAGGCAAGACCAAGGTAGAGATCTCCCATGATTATTTTTAACTAGCCCATGTTTCCTGGAGGAAAGTTTTACGAATAACCACCTTTCCAAGAAAACATAAACCTATAATAGAAGATTTTTATCATACAAAAGGATTTCAAGTGTCACAGAATGAGGCCACAAAATTCTTTAGCCAAAGGAAACACAGGCATGAAACAAGTCACTTAGGTCATTCTGACAAAGCATAGTGTGTTTCCATAAACTCCAACACCACAAAGATAATAAATAACCTCAGTGAAAAGCCTTTTTCTGACTACCACAATTCTTTACTGGAATGTATAATATAAATGAGCAATGACCAATCAACAATCTACGCTACTTTTGTCAACCAATCTAACTGTAATAACTCACTTCTGTACTGCCACATTTTTTTTTTTTAATCTATAAACCCAGACTCCTGGATAGGATGCCATTTGGAATCTGGGCAACAAGAATGTATTTCCCAGGTAGCCAAATAAACTCCTTGTTTTCACATTCAGTGTGACTCCCTGAAGCTGACCGTCAAGGACTCCATATTTACCTTCACTTGACATTTCTATTTTTTCTCTGGGTGGCCACCCACTCTAGCTAATCAGTAAAGAAAAATAATAACTGCAGAACTGACGAACATTATGTAACAAAGCCATCAAGGTTAAATGTGCGTTGCCAGGCGTGGTGGTGCACACCTGTAATCCCAGCACTCAGGTGGCTGAGGCAGGAGGATCGTGGTCTGGACTACATAGTGAGTTCCAGGTCAGTCTTGACTACATAATAAGACCCTGTCTCAACCCCTCCCCAAAAAAGATTAAATGTGCATTAAATTTTACCCACCAATCAGCAAATAGCTAAAGCCACTGTGAGAAGGTATCTACCAGTCTGTGAACACTGCCCACCAACATAAATTGCTTCTAAATCAGATTCCTGGCAAGACGGACTTGGAACAAGAGTTCTCTAGATCTACCAGCCAGCTTTTTGAATGAAGTTTCCATCCTCGCCTCAACAACTTGTCAGCTTAATTGGCCTGTTACGTGGCAAGCAGCCAGAATTGGTTCCAGGGACATTCCCACTTCCCTTTAGGTACCTTCTTAGAGCCCAACGTACACAGCAGCCTACACATTTCAGGTGCCCACTGCCAATCCTTCTGCCTAGGGCCTCACACTAATGAGAGCAGAAGGTGGTAAACCAGGCCTCAGGCTCTGCAGAGTCCAGCTCTATATTCCCATGAGCAGATGAACAAAGGAAGGGCAAAGAATGGAACGGAGGGCAGAGATCAGGACTCCCAGCTTCTCTCAAAATTACATCTAAAATGTTACTTAGAAGTGAATTAAATAGAACAAGTCTGTCATTTTGCTTGAAAATGAAATTTAAGCAATAGAGCAGTGTGTTTTAAAACTAGTGCTTTTGTTATTCTGAGGAATATTTTATTAACTATAATAATGTAATAAATGTAATAAATTGATCATGCACTAAAGATCAAAATAGAGATTAACTGTTCACTTCATTATGCAATTAGTTAAAATGAAACAAACTTGATGATACCATTCGTACTTTAAACAGAAAATATTTTTCATAGGGAAAAAGGATTCAGAGAAAAAAAAATAAAATCAAGCAAGACCACGCCATTATTCCTATTTAAATGATACCATTCGTACTTTAAACAGAAAATATTTTTCATAGGGAAAAAGGATTCAGAGAAAAAAAATCAAGCAAGACCACGCCATTATTCCTATTTAAATCAGGATATAAAAAATAAAAGTTTGCCTGCATGTAAATTAAGAAAAAAAGATAAGGGCCGGGGATTTCAGATCAGTGGTTTTGGTGACTGCCTTCATTTCCCCTTATTGTTAGCTTTATTTTTCAACTAGGGATTTATGTAATGAGATAAAATGAGAAAAAAAAAAAAAAAAGATAAGTATGCAGGATACATAATGCACTCTGTGGTCATCACAGTGATGGTTTTAACTAAACCACAGGGCTGGAGATACACTTTTTCTCTATGACAGGGATGTACTCGCCAAGCATACGGCATAGCCTTAAATGAACAGTCTTCCCATATGCAGAACACAGTTCATTTCTTACAGTCCAATTACCCATCTTCCCATGACACCTACAAACCTGCTCACATATTATTTTGTCATCATTTTCATGTTACCAGGGAAAATCCAATTTTTATATATTACATTCACGTAGTAATTCTAACTCCAAGTGTGTGTGTGTGTGGTTTTTATCCCCGTATTAACCAATCTTCCAACTCTGGATTCCAAATGAGTGTCCTACAATTTAATTCTGATTATCACAGGTTTTGGGCTCAGTCCCTCCCACAAGACTGTCCTCATGTCATATACCAATCACAACTAGTGGTTCCCGTGTTACCCACACGTCCAAATTAGCTACGAATCGGGGATCCCACAACACTTATCATTATGAGTTTGATAATTTGCTAGAATAACTCACAGAACTCAGAGAAATACTCTTCTTTTATTTATTTTATTTATTATAAGGGTATTATAAAAGCTACAGATGAGCAGCTGATGAAGATATACAACAGGTAAGGTCCAGCAGGGTCCTGAGCTCGGGAGCTTCTGTCCTCATAAAGGTAGAGTACACTGTCCTCTGGGTACATCAATGTGCCCAGTTTGGAAGCTCTCTGAACTCTGCAGTTTAGGGATTCTTAGGGCTTCATAACATCAGATGACTGATTATTAACTCAATCTCAGCCCCTGTCACTGGGGGCAAGAGGTGCTGACAAGTTTCTAGTCATGGCTTGGTCTTTGTAACAAGAACCCATCCTGGAATTATATTGGAACCCACCAAGAATCGCCTTAGTCATACAAAAAACATTCCTATCAAGAGACAATTTTGAAGAGACTTAAGAGTTCTGTGTCACATCAGGAATTGGGGTCAAAGACCAGCAGAACAAAAAAAATTACCCCTATGAATCAGGATATTACAAGGTTTTTAGGCACTCTAAACATGGAACTCAGGATGAAGATCTAATATATATTTCTTATTAAACTGCAATATCACAGCATCTCAATATACTTTCATTACAGGCTGACGTCTACATACAGGAGCGCATAATAATCTACATATGGGAGTGTATAATAATCAGATGGATAAACCACCTCCAGAACCACTTGAAGGAAGTCCACTGTAATCTGAAATGCCTGGATAGAATTGAGACACTAATAAACTTTATTTCCAAAGGACCTAGGCATCCTTCACTTTATCTTCTTGGCCTTTTTTCTTCCCATATCATATCTATACTGATCTTATTGGGGTGTGCAGTATTGTCCACTAAACACAAAACTAGATGTGAGCTTTTTAAAATTTCCATTACATGCCTACTATGGAGGCTTATGTGACAGGTGGATAAATATTTGCCAAAAGAAGTGAATTTTGAAAATATATATCATCCAAAAAGATTTTATTTCTGTAAAAAACAGGAATAGAAAATCTAAAAAGGCAAAGTGATGATATGTAAGATAGTTACAGGACTAGACTCTACGCCCTACTGCCTGTCAGTTCTAAGCAAAGGCCTCAGGTTATGACATAACGGGTAAGTCCTCCCCCTCGGACCTCTGACAGCCTCCGGCAGTGTCGCAAAATATTCAGGATCACATGAAACCTCTTGTCAGCCTTCAGAGTTGTGAACTCCTTTATGTCAGCTTCCACTATAAAATACTGACCTGAAAATAAAGAAATTAATGCTAACTTTAAGGCCAACTTTTAAGATGAGTTTTTAAGGTACTAAATTGTGACTATGAATGGTATTAATCACTCAGTCATTATCCAATCAAAGTGAGAAATTCTATTCTTTCCAAAATAATTATTCTATCACCTGAAGTTTCATGATATCACTAGCATTTTAGCATTGTAGCCCTGCTTATTAGCTCACTAGCTACCTGTTGCTATCTCCAGAACAACTTACTTTTCCAGAGGCATTATGAAGTAGAGGTTAACAGAACAGAACTCAGAGCAGCTCTATCACTCAACTGGATGACTTAAAGAATCTTTGTCTAGTCTACAAATGGAATAAGAAAAGCTGGGTGCAGTGGCCCGACTATAATGTCAGCACTCAGGAGACTGAGGCAAGAGAATCATGAATTCAAGGCGGTCTAACATAGTGAGTCCACAGCTAGGCTGGACTAAATAGTAACACCCTATCTCAAAAAGGGGGCTGGCAGGGGAGATAAGGACACTATGAGGATTAAACCTCTTAGCACACTAACTAGCACCAATAAGTGCTATATAAGCATAATCAACCATTATCACTACTACTCTTATAAAACATTGGGTCGTACAGTTCCATAATAGACTCTAAAGCAGCATTCCTCAGCTTGAGCACTGCAGACATTCTGGGGGCTGTTCTGTGCATTGGAGGATAGCAACTCTGTCCCCATCCCAGCTGTAACCACCAAAATGTCTCCAGCATGACAAAGTTAACCCAGTTGGAAAACTATCCAAGGTTGAGGATTAATTTTCTTGCAATAGAATTTTATAGAAAGAGTTTTGTGTCTCATGATCAATTACACTCCAAACAGTTGACATATGCACAGATATATAGCATCATTTTACCTTTAGTATCCTTTGTTTCTTCATTGATAAATCTTTGATAGAGATTTCTGGTTACAGAATTCATAGACTTTTTTGGTTGATGAACAATTTTATACTTGCTAACTACTGCCTTGTTGATTTCTTTAATAACATCATTAATTTGACAGTAAGTTAAACGGGATTTCATGTACCTGCAAAAAAAATTGTATAGTTCTTTTTAAAAAAATCATTACACAAATTGCTTTCTTTGAAAAACACAAATACTATAACTTTGTACAATATCAAAGCATACTTTATAAAGTATCCTTTATAAAAACTATATGAACTTCTGAACAGTCCAGACACATCTCACCAGCTAAAAATTAAATAGAAATGACAACATATTAATGTCCAGCTTCCCTAATTATATCTGAGTGTATTAATCTCTATTTTCTACCTATATAGTATTGATACTATTACAGACCACTAAGTTAGACAGAAATATAATAGACTTGCTGGGGATTTGGCTCAGTGGTTCCGCCACCTGCCTTGCAAGAGCAAGGGCCTGTGTTTGATCCTCGGTACCAAAAAAAAGAAAAGAAATATAATACACAGTCAGCACTGAACTCTTGAGAGAGTCAAGACAAAAGGTAAAAACACACTACAATTTTGGCTGGAGACACATGAGCTGAAGGTCAGGCCTCATGATAACGACACAAGGACCAGGCCTATATACCTCCCCAAGGGGTGAGGTAAGTGATAACACCTGGTCTAGTACAGTCTAGCTTGACATCAGTTGCCTCAGTGGGTGACCAAGACCCCCAGACCCATCACCTACCTGAGAGATTCTTTGTTCTTTCCATGTACTCTTACTACGTGACTTGCTTCCCCACTGGCTCAATATTACCAAGTGACTATACTTGCAACTTTATTGGTTGATCATAGCTATAACCCATGTTGTAACCACATGGGTTTTGCTCTATAAAACCTCCCTGTAAAGCGGGGTTCCTGCCTATGCTCAGGTCCTCTCCTGGTTCTCAAGAACCATCCTCTCAATAAATATTTTCCTACTCTCAAACTTCGTTGTTCCTAGAATTCAATTTTTGGTTTTTAGAGAACACAAACTCAGCGTATAAGACATCTAACAGATTGGGAGATACAATATTTTCATGTTTCATCTCCTGTATTGTATTAAAACAAGTTCTCAAATTCTATTTCAAACAGGCAGAATAATTCCAAGATGTAACTTTATTTAAAAAAATTTAAAGTGTGCAAAAGAAAGAAAATTTTAAATGTTGAGAAAGTATACAACTCATACCATGGTTTTCTGGAAAAACTCTTACGTGTATAGAGAGGGTGAAAAAAAAAAAAAGAGGACGAGATGGAAGGGAAGCTGAAAGTAGACAAAAAAAACCAGAAGATGACAATTAAGATACAGAACTGATGAGCCAAGAGAGAAAAGGCATGAGAAGCTTCTCAATTTAAGCATAAAGATAGAGAACCAGTGAGTATGGGCTAGCTCCAATTCTTTCAAAACATTCCTCTTCAACTCTAACTTCCACCATCAACCTCGATCTCATTCTTGTTTATCCTCACTGTCACCATGGATCTAGTTTAGAATACAAATAGGAGACTCTCAATTTTGAGGGGTTAGGCACACCAAAACCAAAACTCAGCGATCTGCCTCAGTCTTCCCCTCAACAAATTGTGGGTTCATTCTCTTAAACTTTGTCAAAGAGTTTCTACTGGAAGTGGCAGTTTTGAAACAAAAGTTCTTTAATATAAAATAATAAAGGAATTTAAAGGAGAATGTTCATCTTTCCAAATGTATTCATTTTCATTACTTTTCTTTTCGAAATTCAGTGTTGAAGATTTGCTTTTTCTAACTACAATTTCCAAACTCTTGATACCACTGCTTTCTACAATGCATTCAGGAATTCCTCCAAGACTTTTTGATTGTGCCCTTTATTTCCTCAATACTCATTCTCCAGCCCTGTTAACATTTCCCACTTTAATTCAAACCTCAGTATTAACTTTAAATAAGTAAATAAAAGTTTATCCTAATCTCATTTTATCTCATTACATAAATCCCTAGTTGAAAAATAAAGCTAACAATAAGGGGAAATGACTGATAAAAAAAAATTAAAGAGAAATGTTAATCACTAGTCTTAGAATTATAAAATAGCCAGGTATCTTTCAAGTGACTAAGTGGCAACAATTTTTAAAACAGCAGCTAAGATGAGCAAAGGTGAAACAGGAAGAGTATTTTTACATATCATACAGAAATAAAAACTGGTGTGTAAAGCTCTGATGTGTAAAGAGCCGAGAAGTCATCACTCTAGCCCTCACAAGAACAAAATGAAAATTAGTACAATAATTCTTCCTAGAGCCATTACAAAATTGAGGGTATAGAGCAAAGCACTGTCCCAAAACTGGAGAAACAAGTAAAAAAAAAAAAAAATTCACAGCTTTCTAGTGAGACCAAGAATTAAGAGGTAAAAATAAGCAGCTAAGACTGCCTATTGACCTGAGTAAACCAAGATAAGCTACATAGAACTTTATACTAAAAGCTTATTTTCTTCAGTTTGTATTAATTACTGGATGTATTTGGTCCAGCTTGCTTTCTTTTTCTTTTTCGGTGCTGGAGACCGACCCTTGTCTAGCTTTCAATAAAAAACTATAAGATATAAGAAAATACAGCCTGAGGAGACAAAACAAGCATCGCAGACTCAGAAATAACAGATTTTGAGAGTATCAACCACTAATCCAAATAACTATGTTTAATATGCTAAGATCTTTATTTTTTTTTTTTGAGACAGTCTCACTATGTAGCCCAGGCTGGCCTCAAACTCACTACATAGCCTAGAGTGGCCTTGAACTTGCTGCTATCCCCCTGCCTTAGCCTCCTGAGTGCTAGGATTGATTATATGTGTAGGTCACCACGCCCAGCTTAAGGACTTTAATTTTAAAAGGACAAAAATGCAAGAACAGATCTGTAAAGGAAGCAAGGTTGGAAACTCCAAAATCAAAAGCAAATACTACACGTCAACTCTGTTAACAGAAATGAAGCAAGTTTTGATGGGCTTCTGACAGCCAACCTGACTCCTTTTTGCACCTCATCACCGTTTCCCCTCCATTTCGTGTAAAATCAAATGATTTCGGGCAGTCGCTTCCGCCTCCCTTGGGAGTCCCCTCCAATGATGCATGACAGACCACGCATCCCATTGGACAGAGCAATCTGCAGCTGTATGTTATCTTTATGACTTTCCTATTTGGCAGAACAGTCTGCAGCTATGTTATCTTTATTACCTGGTGAACAGAACACTCCATACCTATATGATATTTTGTTTCAACTAAACTGTGTGAAACTTCCCCTGACCTCCACTAACTTGGCAGAGCTCTGCTTCTATAAAACTCGGCTTGTGCTCCCCCACTCCCTGAACCCTCCCCGACTAAAGGAGCTGCTTAAAAGAAATCCACAAGCTGCTTTTCAGAGTTGAACTGAGAGATTCCAGAGATCCTGAGCACTAGCTGCTCCTGAATAAAGGACTCAAACTTGGCTCAGAGTGTTGGTGATTCTCTACACTCTCTTGTGATTGAGTATAACAGCCTCAACAGCAGACTGGGCTTTCAGTTATGAAAAAAAAAAAAATCAGTGAACTTGAAGATATGTGGATAAAACTCCCCCAAACTTAACTCTAAAGAGGAACCACAACAACAAAACAGAAATTCTAAGAACTATGGGACAAATACAATTAAATACCACAAAAGATATTCAAAACTCTTTAAAACTGAACCATAAGAAAATAACAATTAAAAAACAAGCTAAAGAACTGAAGACACTTCAGCAAAGCAGATATACACATGGTAAATGAGCATATGAAGAGATTTCAATATCATAAGCCAAACAATCCCACAATCATGCTCCAAAATATTTACCCAAATGGGTGGAAAACTTTTTATGCTCACATGAAGCCTGCACATTCATGTTTAGAGTGCCTTTATTCATAACTACCCCCAAACTGAAATTGACCAAGATTTTCCTCAATAGGTAAAAGAATGAATAAACTATGAGATGTTGCTCAGTGCTAAAAAGAAATAAGCTGTCAAGGCATGAAAAGACATGAAGAGTCTCAAATTTATGTTGCACAAACGAAGTTTGTCAGAAAACAGTACGTAATGTATGATTCCAACTATATAACATCATGGAAAAGGTAGTAAAGAGGTAAGTGGCTGCCTAGGGCTCAGTGGGAGAGAAAAAGAAGCGGTGCACAGGACACATTTAGGTCAATGAAACTCTTCTGTATAATACTGTAACTGTAGGACAGCTCAGCTTTGAAAAGTGAAATAATCATGTGCTTGGCCCCAGGGACTCACTCTCCTCCTATTCTATCCCAAAGAAATAAGGAATTACAAAATAAACTAATCTAAAAGAAATTTCACTGTACTATTATTTATAACAATGAAATCAGCTAAAATTCTTGTTAAGGGAAAGCTTAAATAAATTATAGGACAGCACAAAGAGTATGGGATGAAATACTACATAACTATTAAAATCTAAGTTTTCAGTGATAGTTAATGATGGAAAAATATCATAAAAGAATAATTAAATTGTATTTATAGTATAACTACACTGTAATAACAATGAGAAAAACCTGTCAAATAAAACCTGGAAATAGATGCCCTATCTTATCTGTATGGTACAATTACAAATGAGTATTATTTTTTTACAATAACTACTTTTTTTTCTTGGTTTGTTTTTTGAGACAGGGCCTCGCTATACAGTTCAGCCTAGACTTAAACTCACTATGTATCCCAGGGTAGCCTCAAAGTCATGGTTATCCTCCTGCCTCAGCCTCCTGAGTGCCAGAATTACAGACATGCGCCACCAAGCCCAACTCTGACAATAATTACTTTCTAACAAAGATTATTTGTAATAACATAAAAAAAAGTAACATAATGTAAATTTAGAAGTTAAAGAAAGTCTCAAAATTATGAGTTTAAGAAAATGGATGTTCACAAAGTTTCTCCATTTTTGTCATCTATAAAAAGCAAATGGAAAAAAAAAAAAAAGAGGAAAAAGAAAAAAAAAGCAAAGGAAATTTCCCTCGAGGGGAGGCATCTAGTCTCATTCATTCCTCAGTGACACAGTGCTTGGAAAACAGCACAGACTTAAGCAAGTGTGCAGTACAAGAAAAAAATGAAAACCAAACACACAGTCTTCATTCTAATTCTCAGTTATAAATCACACTCAATTTCCTTAAATGTACAGCAAAAATGAAGTTACTTCTGAACAGAAATCTGTGTCACAGAATGGACTCAGAGAGTAATAAGCAGCAAACTGATCCATCTGTAATACAAGAGCATCTACAACTGAATAAAAAACATGCTTTTCAGCATTTCCAAGAGAAAAATATCCTGCCTTTTCACAGTACAATGTAAAATTATTGTAGACAAGATCGATATTTGAACACAGCATATTACAATTAATATGATCAAGCTTTATAATTTAAATAATCATTATGTGTGAAATAGGAAGAAAAGGACTAAAGGGGTAGGGGAAGTGGGAGGGGTAGGGAAAAGCAAAGATGGGAAAGGAAAAAATATGAGAAAAGGAAAACAATGGAAATAAAAGTCTTTGTAAAGAGGAAGGGTTGAAGGGAGGGCATGGGAATGGGGAAAAAATAAGAACCAACATATAACATGCAAAGGTACAAGTTCCCAGTGATGACTGTAACAATACTGTATACCTAAAATGTACCAATAAACTTAATGAAAAAAAAAATCATTATGTTAATTGTTTTAGATTTCAACATTAAAATTTATCTTAAATACTTACGAAGGAACTCCATTGAACTCATCAGTAGATATAAACAGCATTTCTTTAATAATTTTTTGTTCTTTTGGAAGCTTCCTTGAGGGTTCTGGTTCTTCAACTTTGACTGGTTCTTCAGAGTCAAGATCTGATCCATTAACCCTACAGAGTAGAGTATGAAAAGGTAAATGTCAGAATGAAGCAGCATACTAGAAGTTTTTCTCAACTGCAAATAATCCATATTAAACATAACTCATTCTGTTAATTTTTTAGCCAAGTTTCTTCTAACCCTACATCTAAAGAGTGAAAGAATATTAAAAATTTCCTTAAATCTTCAATAATATAGCTATAATTACTTAAGATACCCAAAATATGATATACGCAGGATACATGTTAGATTTTTTTTCAGTATTGAGGATGGAACCTAGGTCTTCATACATGCTAGGTAAGTAGGCAAGTGCTCCACCACTGAGCTACATGCCCAGTATTGTTTTTAATTTTAAGAAAAGGTCTTACTAAATTGTGCAGCCAGGCTTTGAATTTCCTATATTTCAGGCTGAGCCTCACAAGTAACTGGGATTATAAGTATGCACCACCGTGCCTGGCTTAGGGTAGACATCTTCATCAAGAGTCCCCTTGGCTCCTCAAAGTCAATATATACAAAGTTGAACTATCTTGCTCCCAAACAGCACCTCTCCAACTTCCACAGATCTGAGTATACAAACATCAGTCATCTTCCACTTATTCTAATTTATTTCATTGGTTGCTGTCAGTCCCTGCTTATTGCACACTCATTTTAATTTCTAGCAATAAGCATGGGTCACCATTGGATTCAATCTGCCCAATTTTATTTAGTGAGAAGCCTAATATAACTCCCATTCCACAGGCTGTAGCTTCTAGTTCAGTGATGGCAAACCTTTTAGAACTTTCAGTGACATAAACAGCCCACCACAGCACAGGTACTGTAGGTTCGCCACTACTATTCTAGGTTGTTTAAGTGCCAGGAAAGGAATAGATTTCTGTAGCTATACTGGCTTGACTGCTTTCAGAAAGAAGACACTGGATACAGGAAACAGTAGATCCAACCCAGAAGCCAAAAAGATCCCCAGAAACATGACAAATGAGAACCCAAGATGACATCAGACAACCAGATACAGCATAGCCAGACCTGATTGGCTTTTGTGGACTGTCAAGACAAAAATATCCAATGAGAAGTTACCATCATCCTAACTCGAATGCTAATGTATGACTCCATGAAGTAATTTTTCCTGTACTTGTTTATCTTGATTATGTGCTGAGGAAGTTCCCAGTTGTTTCTGCATGCCATGCTGCATGTATCAGTGGAGAACACCATTTCAACCTATAGAAATGTTCTGTTTTGACCCACTGCTGAGAGCCAGAGGTAGGCCACACTGAGCTAATGTTTTCCTAGCCACATTCTTGCTGGATAGCTAATGTCTACCCTAACAGATACCCTCTAATGACCCCTGTTCCATAATATTCACTCATTACAATGCCCACCAGTCTCCTCTTCTTGCAGGAAAATTCCAAGCACCCTGACCAGGCCTAGGGACACTGTTGAGCTCCTGAAGACCTTTAATCATCAACACTACTGTGGCTCTTTTCCTATGGCTTGTGTTTGCCTTTCAACTTTTCAAGTTCAATCAATATTCTCTTTACGAAAACACACATGTAAAGGCAAGATTATCATAAAGGCCAGGAGAGTGATTATCTCTGTGACAAAAGATGAGTGTGCACCAGAAAGTGTTTTAAGATATTGGTAATGGCCTGTTTCTTAACATGACTAGTAGAGTCTATGGCCATACCACCTGAATGCACCCGATCTCATTTTAACCTGTCTAGTAGGTACACAGTTGTTTATTATTCTTTAATTTGTATAAATAATATTTTAATCACTTTGCTGTATACATGGCACATTTCAAAAATTAACTTATCCATGAAATGTTTTTAATCTATTCAAAGCACTTTTTAGAGCTAAAATTTTGGTGGCAGAGGACTGGAGAGATGGAAGTAGAAAAATACTGCACTAGAAAGACAAAATATAGGACTTCTCAAATCAGAAAGACAAAATATGATGGAAGATCCTACTCAGAGCCAAGCAATGAGAACAAAGGAGAAGCAGAATGGATAGGTAATGGCTAAGAAAGTGACAAGATAAAGATGCCAAGTCCCTGCCCAGGTGACAGGAGGAAGAGGGCCGTAGTTTGGATGGACAGACAACAAGACAGTCAGTGAGTTCAGCCTTAGACTTGCAAAGTTTGAAGAGAAATAATTCCCTCAAAAAATTCCCTGAAAGCCATGAAATCACCAGAAATAGATATCACCTCAAGGCTGGAGCTAGACATTTGAGAGCACTGACAGTGGGGTCAGGTAAACAGAAGTAAAACAGCTTCAGGTGACACCCATAATTTAAGAGAGGGAAGAGAAGCAGAGGCAGCCAACTCAGGGATGTGGGATGATGGGAAAGAAAGCACAGCAGCAGTCCAGTGCACAACACAATCGCAAAACAAAAGGGGTACCAATGTGAGATCTGAAAAACAGAATCAGGCCAAAAGGACTTCTGACTTCTTTGTGGACTCTAAGCAATCAGGTCCACAAGTGTGGTGGCAATGACAGCCAAAAGCCACACAGTAGGGGCTCTAAGAGAAAGGCAAACACAAACATACAATGCCAGTGAAGAGACAGAGAGAGCCAGAATGGAAGTGAGGGACAGAAGAGCAGGTTTATTGTTCTTCTGGCTATTTTTCAGAAGGTAAGTTCATCAAGCTTATTCTAACCTAAGGCAGTGGTTCTCAAGGGTCAGGGAGACTTTGCCCAAAAAGGATATTTGGCAATGTCTAAAGACCTTCTTCATCGTCACAACAAAGAACTGACCTCAAGCACAAGGACCTGAGTTCAATCCCCAGTACCAAAAAAATAAAAAAGAACTGACCTCAAAAGATAATGAGGCTGAGGTTGAGAAAATGCTCTAAGGGAAAGAACAAGTGGGAAGAGAGTGTAAGAAGCCTTGCTCTCAGGAAAGGAGGCTATTCCCCTCAGAGATGGGACATTTCCCTCATTTCCTTAGGATAAGAAAACTGGTCAAGACAGGCATCATACTGTCTCTGGTGCAAGTGACAAAAAACTGAGTAATCAACAAAATTGCAGGTACATGATGAAGCAAAAGGCTTTGAGGTGTTTGTTTTCATGGGTTTATAAAACCAGATAGTAAGAATAATTATAAATATACTTACAAGTTCTGGGTTACTGTCACTTGAGGCAAATGGGAAGGAATGTTTTCATTCAGATGTTCTACATCTTTATAATCTTCTTCAAGAGATTCACAGAGTTCCTAAAAATTATTTTAAAATGCTCATGAATAAGCCACTTGCCCCCTGCGAGTGTCATAAGACATTACAAAGAGAGGAAAGACTATGAACAATAACCACAGTGATAATGAATGCAGCAATACTTAAAACAAAAAACAAAAAAACAAGGAGAGAGATTTGGAACTGGCAATGTATCTCAGTGTAGAGCCTTTTCTTAGCATTTATGAGGTCCAATCCCTGGGGGAATGAAGGGGGAATTGGATCCAAGAGCTGTTTTTTTTTGTTTTTTGTTTTTTGGTTTTTTTTTGGATGGTAATATATTTTTCTCTTTTGGATTTTTCAGAGGACAATCTCTGTAATCACATTATACCTACAAAGCAAGGTTGAGGTTTAAGCGTCTCCCTTAACCTTGGCAAGCAACTAAGAAATAGATTAAAAGATTGATGTTTTTCTTTCCAGCAAATTCCTTTGTTGACTTCACACATATTCGCCATGTTACCTATATGACAGCACCAGACCAAGAAAGCCCACAGATGACAAGCATGAGATGCTGCCTGGAATGACTTCCACATCAATATTTTTATATTCCACCTTAATAAAAATTTCTTCTTAATTATAATTGTGTTTTTCCTTTAATTTCCTCTAGAACTTGAGGCAATGAACTTATGAAAAATTTAATAAGAAAAATATTCTGTGCCTTTGGATTCTTGTCATTTGACTTTCAGTTTTCCCTTGACTATTCTCTAGGCCCATACCAAACCCTGGGTGTTCTTGGGTAGGTTAGAAGTGAAATACCAATACTGAATTTATGACATCCTCCTTTTGAAGAGCCGGGTGATATTCACAGACACTGACTTAATTTTGACTAATAGTAGGGAGGGGCACAACCATGCCATTGCTATCACTGAAAATATTTATAAATCTCAAGGGTTACAAAGCTGAACGGAACCAACAGCTGTGTTATTCAGTTCTAGTAAACACGTCAACGTCTCTAATAATAGCACAAGGTAACTATAGTGCAGACTGAATATTTTCTCATAGAAAGTACATAAAACTTGTGTTAGTTGAAATTAATTAGAAGTCTCATTTAGGACAAAATATGCGTGCGAAGCTCAAGTTTTTCTTTACTGAAGAATACTTATATTTTATAAAAATATGGAAATGCATGAAGAGAAAAGAGCTAGTAAACAATCCCATATTATTGCTCAAACGAAGATCCTCAGATCCCAAGAGGTGAAATGGTTTTCTCAGGATTGCACAGGGTGTCAAAAACAGCCAAAGCAAGAATCCACATCTCATCCAAGACTGGTGTTCTTTATACATTACTCTCCTGGGTACCATTTGTTTACATTAAACCTACTAAGAATTATTTAGAAAACCCACTTTTTTTTCATAAAGTACAATTCTTCTGGCCATCAGTATGAATAAGAAGCTTTGGAGCCCCAGAATCCATTATACCGGGAACCTAAAACACAAATGGTACTCTATACCATTACTAATTTACAAAGCTAAGAACATTATAAACATAAAGATCTTATAAATTACTTGCTGATTAGAGTTTTATTTGTTGCCTTTTTGTTTCTTCATTAGAAAAGCATTACCTTGAGTGAACTGTTAGTTTGTTCTTGATATTGAATTTCCAATTCAAATTTATTTAGAAGTTCATTTACTATAATGATCTCATCTCCTATTTTATTTAATTGTGTGTGTGTGTGTGTGTGTGTGTGTGTGTGTATCCCATGAAAACTCTGTGACAGATGTCTTAGCCTTAGAGACATGCATGATAGAAAAAGGACCTTTGCTTCAGCCCTAAGACCAGATTCCCTGGCTAATCTGAAAACCTCATTTCAAAGTAATATGTAAGAGAAAGCAGGAGAGGCATCTACAAAATGTCCCTGAGGCTTTTGTGTGTGTGTGTGTGTGTGTGTGTGTGTATCCCATGAAAACTCTGTGACAGATGTCTTAGCCTTAGAGACATGCATGATAGAAAAAGGACCTTTGCTTCAGCCCTAAGACCAGATTCCCTGGCTAATCTGAAAACCTCATTTCAAAGTAATATGTAAGAGAAAGCAGGAGAGGCATCTACAAAATGTCCCTGAGGCTTTTGTTTCTGGCAACATCTTCCACTATAATAAAACACCTAGAAATACTGAATAAAAGAAACACCTTTCTACATGCCTAAGTGAGCTGTCATGGGACTTAGTTAAGTCTCCAAGGGATCCAAAGTGAAGAGGGACCCACAGATGAAGTATCATTTGTGAGCTGATGCTGCAGCAGCTGCATCCTAGCAGGTACAGAGGGATGCTGAAGAAAAGGCTGTCAGCCTCAGCAACTGGATATATTTTACTTTAAGGAGGACTAGATCCAAGATTTTGAGGCCTCAAACACAGGGTTGAAAATGGGTATCTCAAATTGGATCAAGAACGCTCTTCACTGAAAGTATGTCCTGAAAAAGTCTAAACAGGCCAGGAAAATAATCTTATGTTTTGGACTGGCCCTCAGGTGTGCATGTGGATGGAGTGGGGGTAAGTTTGAGAGTTCTCTTCAGAAATCTGGAATATAAGTTTGGGATTCATATTTATACTATGTACACTACTCAAAGTTGCTAACCAGAAAAGAATAACATAAAAAGTCACAGGCTAGTGATAATTCTGGAAAATAAAACACGAGTCATATACAAAGCAGCACATTGTCATCTTCCCAGCCCCATCTCCTAGCACCTCTCTCTAGCTTCATAAATTTGATAAGACCCGAGTCACTTCCTCCCTAGAATTGAAATTAATATTTTAAGAGAACAAAAACACAAAAGAAAAATTATCCTCACAATTAAATCTTTCCATCCACATTTCCAGCAACCAAGCAATGAGATACATATAAATAAAAGCATGCTTTGGTCATTTCTGTAGATTATGGAGTCAGTAAAGGCTACATGGCCTTAGCGTGAAGTCAGAGGAACAAGCACCTACTGCCTAGGGTTACTGCAAAGATATGAAAGTACATAGTAAATGCTAATTATTATTCATCATTATAATGAGTATATTATTTTATTTAAAGGAGTGATGTGAATTGCTCTTGACTTTCAGCTCATAACCATTAAAACAAAATAAGAATTCTGGTATTCCTGCTCAGAGAAAATTCAGAGTCAAATAACTAAATGGATACATCATCTCTTCCCTATACACTGCTATCTCAAATAACTTTTTAAAATTGTTATTTTATGAAAAAATAAAACAAATTTTCACAATCAAGTAATAACAGCAACCAAACAGTTAATCACCTAAAATTCAGGGCTTTTGTCATGAATTACAGTAATATAATCAATTGAACAAACTCACTTCTTTTGATAGGATTCATCTAGTAAGTTATTGCAGCAAAAGTGCAAACTACCAGGCTTCATTACGTAAGCTATGGAAACAAGTTGTTCTCTCCATCTACAAAATGACAATTGTCCAATGTAGTAATCTAACAGGTCTGCAGTTTAAGCCAGACCTCTGTTTTGGAGGGGTCAACTGAATCTAATATTACAGATCTCCAAATTACAATGGTACCTCAGTTCATGAACACTTTTGTTTGAGAACAATCTGGTTTGCAAACAAAAACGTTTAGCAAAATTGTATTTATGCTTGCAAACTCTACATGGGTGACAAACAAGACAACGGCCATTTTTCCTACACATAAATGTGACCATCTTTTCCAAAATTGTGGAACAAAATAAGATCTTGAACTGAGGTACGAGGTATTACTGTCTATGATTTCAAAATAAAGTAGATGTGTAAATTTATTTTGACAAAAGACATGCTGCCATTAATTCCCCTCAAAATACTGCCTCTCACTTCAAATACATATGCCATTGTTCTTGCCACTTTCTGAGGCAGTTAAGTCCTCCTTAGTGTCTTCAATTGTGATGTCATGCCTGTCTCAGTGTCTTGAACTGATTCAAAACATTTATCTTTCATAGTCATTTTGACTTTGGGGAAGAACCAGAAGTCACACAGTACATAGTGCCAGTCTGATGAATAAGAACATGCCATCTTAATGTTGTTTTTGGGTTTTTTTGTTTTGTTTTTTTTTAGTACCAGGATCGAACTTGGGTCCTTGTGCTTTTGAAGCAGGTGGTGGAACCACTGAGCTAAATCCCTGGCCATAAAGAATTACAAATTCCTATTAACAGCATGCATTTTGGCTACTCAGATTTTTTTTTTTTTTTTTTTTTTTTTTTTTTTTTTTTTTTTTTT